TGGTACTTTCCTGTTAAGGGGAACATTCATTATTATCGATGATTTATTTTCGATATATCGATAGTTTTGTTTTCCATCCAATATATTGATAGTAACAAATTGAAACATATCAGCTGACAAGTACGATATAGGATATAGTAAATAAATATTATTCAAGATCAACAAACAATAAAAAAAATATTATATTGAAATGAAACTGTTCTAAACTAACCTAACCAACCAAACTTGCTGTAACATTTCAAAAATCCGTTATAGCCTATTCCCCATATGCCTTTTCTGTTATCAAATGGAATTTTGAAACGGTAACTTAGCCTATACAGCAAGTTTGGTTAGTTGGTTAGTTATGTTTAGTTTAGAATAGTTTCATGTCCCAATCCAATCAATTATAGGCTATTATTTTTGCCTAAACAAGGTTAGTTCTTAGATATTAATACAGAAGGAATACCAATCGTGAAGTAAAACAAAAATATCGACATATGGAAAATGAATCATCGATAATAATGAATGTTCTCTTTAACAGGAAAGGACCATTATTCTGGAGTACTTCTTCAGGAGTAATTATTCTGGAGTACTTCTTCTGGAGTACTTCTTTTGGAGTAATTATTCTGGAGTACTTTTTTGGAGTAATTATTCTGGAGTACTTCTCCTGGACTAATTATTCTGGAGTAATTATTCTGGAGTACTTATTCTGGAGTACTTATTCTGGAGTGCATCTTCTGGAGTTATTATTCTGGAGTACTTCTCCTGGAGTAATTATTCTGGAGTACTTCTTCTGGAGTAATTATTCCGGAGTACTTCTGGAGTAATTCTCCTGGAGTACTTCTTCTGGAGTAATTATCCTGGAGTACTTCTTCTGGAGTGATTCTCCAGGAGTAGTTATCCTGGAGTAGTTTTCTAGAGTAATTATCCTGGAGTAGTTCTTCTGTAGTAGTTCTTAAGACTCATATTATCTTCGGAATGGTACCCTTTTAGAGAATTATGTTTCGAAGATATGCCTGACCGTACATACTCTATCGTAGCCTTTCAAAAATTATCTCTAGAGCGAAGCCACGGAGTGGTAAATTTACCTATACAGTACCATAGTAGAATCTTACTGTTTTTATGTCAAGACTAAAAGACGTAACAATATTTACGAGTATTTGTATTAAAAACCCGAACTGTATCTAAATATTTTTTGGTTAAAACCGGATGATTGTCGGAGTTCATTAAACTATGAATTAAAGATCTTGGAATGTAGGATCGTTTACTCTAATTAGGGGGTTTAAATTAAATTAAAACTACAGTAAAAATTATGTTAACTTTGTGACTTGTTGAAGCAATTAGTTGATTTCCAATAACACTTAATGGTAGCAATCATGCAATTAGGCAGGAAATAGAAGCTGTACTATAAGTGCTTATTGTAAAACATTTCTGAGAGTATTATTTTATCGTGTATTTATTAGTAAAGCAGATTGGTTTAGATAGACATAAACTACAAAAATGCTTTAAACTTTGGCTTATTCACTCATGCATTTATTCAATCTATAATATAAGGAATTAGTATATAGTAAATTTTAAAATACGACCATTCTTGGAGTAATTTAATACAAATAAGTACACTCAAAATTAAATTTACGATTGACCTTTCAAATCAATGAATCTATCAACAATTTCACTGTATAAAGTTTAAATACAGCTCTTTTAAAATTTCGATGTACAAAGACAACGGAGAGCAGTGTTAAACAAGCGTAGCATAGCGATGCGACGGTTTCAAAGGGAAATCGACATTTAATTGATTCATACTACAAAGCTGATTGGGAGTGATTAATTTGTAAAAGTCCAAACGTAAATGTTTCATCAGCTTTCCCTTGATTGGCTCGTTTGCATCAGCTGATCAATTGATGATTCGTACAAATCAGCTGAGCAATTGATGATTCCTACAAAGCAGTTTTATAAAAGCAAAAATTTCTGTTAAATATTAGATTACTGTTATATTATAGAGTCTCTGTATGGTTGCCTGTCAATACTTTTACTTTCTTACCTAAAATGTCTTTATTTAAAGTAACTGTAATATAATCCTCACACTCAGGTAAATAACTCGTCTTGTATACTTTAAGTGGGCTGTAAAGTGGATTGAGAACCTCGTAAAAATTTCGCACACACTTTACTTTACTATGTATAGAAATTGTATACGGAGAAAGTATCGTTTTCGTCAAAACTATCGAGTTTCAAGTTTTGGGTAGAAATATTTGTTTTGGATCACCCAACAAGTGGTTTCCGAAGAGATGAAGTAAGTGTGTATGTGTGTGCGTGTAGATGTGTACAGAGCTTACAAGCTACACTTCTGGTCCGATTTTGATGAAATTTGGTATGTGAGTACTAATCCATGGTATATCCAGGTGTTTTTGTTTTTTAAGAAATTTCGAGTTTTAATTGTGAATATGACATAAAACCCTCAAAATAACGAAAACTCTGATTTTCACAACTCCAAAAAATGTTATAAAATAATTTAGTATGTTATGGTTCTTTGAACTTCAAACAAATTGGTATAACACCAAATGCTGTTAAAAATTACCGTTCAAAAGTGTTTGCAACTTTTAAGATTTTGTCAATAAAATATAACCTTCACCGCAGGTTATGATAAGCGTTGTTCAGAAGCAAATGCGGGAAATTAAATTTCAGATTGCCGATACCGTTTATTATTCGTATATCTACCCAACTGTATAAAGTTCTACAAAAAGGTAGTATACGCAACAAAAGGTATCACAGGCAGGCCTACTTTCGTTTCGATATTTGACTTTGCCCAAAGATTTCAAAGGTCCATGATGGCTTTGATTGGTTTCCAAGATTCGCTCTCTATTCCGTCAAACAGCTGATTTAAATCAAGGTACGTAAATTTTGTTAGGAGTGGGGCAATATTGTGACCTTGCCCTTTTGCGAAACACGTGTAAAACTACTACTAAATAATAAAAAGCTTTTAATTAAATTAAATAGTTGAGCGTTAAAAATGAGTAAGTTAATTCGCCTTCAATGAGTGGATATGCAAAACAGATACTGTATTATATTGCCTATCGCTTAACACGAAGTCACCTCAGTGAATTTTACAGTACACAGGATGATAAAACTAATGTAATTCATACTGTATGGGTTTCATATTCAGACGCCATGACGAGCAAAGATTGAATAGAGAAAATTGTAACAGTGGCAAGTATAAAAACTGTGAATGATTAAAACAAATCAATAATTTCCAGCAGATTATAAAATTTTTGCGGTGATAAAAAGTGTGCCTAAGGGGATTCGAAGATTCCTTGATACGTAAAAGAATTTGAAAACATAGCAGGTGATTTGAATGGAAATTTATATGTAAATCCCAATGTTTTAACTTTAGCTTGTGTTCTTTCATGTACTTTCCAACCTGAGGACGGGGTCAGATTCTAGATTTCGAAATGTCGACGAAATATTCTTAACATTATGGAAATTGCCCACAACAAAATAACACGAACTTAAGATTGTTCAATATCAAACTTCCTTCAAGGAAATAATCCAAGTGTTAATGTTCAAGGAACCTACGATCGAGTTGATGAACCATGAGTTCACTTTTACCGCCACTTTGCTCAAACGATCCAAACCCGCCAAAAGAACCGCGGATAACGGCGCAGGACGGCGACAAAGGAAATAAACATCGTAATCTGTCCGAGGAATCCACCAGATGCCGCTAGCCCGCTTTTTGTCGTATTTAATCCTTTTAAAGAAATCAAGACGGGTTCAGCTGCGCCGCGAGCACAGGGGGAGGGGGGCAGCAAAACGTTTAGCAAGCTATGATAATTGTGGACACAAGGAGGGACGCCATTTTGGAACGAGGGCAAATCCAAATCCTGTTTTTGAGCCGCACCATTCATCCGACCCTCTGGATTCAACACAAATTTGCTATTCATCCAGCACAAATATTGTTTACTGCGATCAGACTGTCAGTTAATATGGGAGAGATGGACGGATGTCGGGATGGGAGGGTTTGTACACTTTGGTGGGAACGCTGGGAGACTCATCAACTGGGCTACCTGTAGTGGGAAGCCAACGAGTTGGCGAAATGTGGAAAACTGTATCAGTAATCTGACACATAATTTCTCCAATTAATTTATCAATAACCATTACCATTGGTAAGCCACTTACTTGTTCTTCTTTGATATAATTGTGTGAAGTACAATATGAAGTTAAGAAGATACTTAATGCAAAGATAAAAAGAGTTTGGAAGATACTGAATACAAAGATGCAAAGAGTTCAGAAGATACTGAATGCAAAGAGCTTAGAAGATACTGAATGCAAAGATGCAAAGAGTTTAGAAGAGACTGAATGCAACGATGCAAAGAGTTCAGAAGATACTGAATGCAAAGATGCAAAGAGTTTAGAAGAGACTGAATGCAACGATGCAAAGAGTTCAGAAGATACTGAATGCAAAGATGCAAAGAGTTTAGAAGAGACTGAATGCAACGATGCAAAGAGTTCAGAAGATAGTGAATGCAAAGAGCTTAGAAGATACTGAATGCAACGATACAAAGAGTTTAGAAGATACTGAATGCAAAGATGCAAAGAGTTTAGAAGATACTGAATGCAACGATGCAAAGAGTTTAGAAGATACTGAATGCAAAGATGAAAAGCGTTTAGAAGATACTGAATGCAAAGATGGAAAGAGTTTAGAAGATACTGTCTACTAAAGCATAGACATGCAGTTAATTTTGTTTATCGTATATAAACTTCATGAAATAAACATAAATAACGAGAACCCAACATGAAATAAGGAATAAAACAAACAATTGCAAATTTTTATACAACATAAACATATACAAAATTAAAACTGTAGTGTGCTGTATTAAGCTCTAGTTTTGCTCTACAAAAACATTAATTTGAGTTCCACTTATAATAGACACACACAAGAAAAAGTATTCAAACATACAACAAAAACATGAAAATTATTGCACTAATTTTTACTTTATGTTTCTTCAGAATAAGCTGATTAAATTTACCTTAAACCGAATTATCGTGGACGGATTTCCTTTTTTGTCAACAACGGTTTTCTCCCACAGTAATCTCTGGAGGAACAGTTCCAAGCACTTTCTGGAAACACCCTTCTCCAGCTCCAAAGTAACTGTTCCAACGTCCTGAAACAGATGAGGAATAACAGTTAAATATAAGTAACAGGTAAACGTAACAGGCACGTTTATTTGAATCCGTGAACTAGAACAAACCCTATGTCTCTACTCTAAGAAAAGTAACAGGTAGAGTTCCAGTGATACAATTGTTGGTCCCTAATCTAGGTGTTAAGTAATCGTTCCAACGTCCTTAAATATATCTGATAAATCAGTTAACCGTCACTACTAATACACGATATATTATAGCGTAGGCCTATGCTTATATTATCAAGCTGTAAGGTGAACCGTGGATCTTATTAACCAAAATTAAAGAGATGTATGAAGCGGACAAAAACCAATAAAATCAACATGCTGCCCAAATATAATGGTAGTGTTGATAATGTATCAGTAAGCGGAATAAAGGTAGCCTTTCAAATAGTTCATAGCACCTGACACCGAAAAAGTGAATGTTTTTAGGAGTACGAATTCACATGGACAAAACAGCCAAAACTGCAACGTAAGAAAGATTTACCTGGTCTAAATGTGACGAGTTTTCGTTCCTCTTCACTTCTTCAACTATGGAAGTTATCCTGTGGACATAGAGTGAAAACTCAAATTAGATAGGTAAGTTTTAAGACAAAACACTTGTAAAGTTTTGATATGTATAAAAAATATGAATTCGGTATATTTTTCACGTTTCATATGTTTATTATGAACCAAACGCGTACCTAGTTGTTGAAGGTACGCGTTTAAAAATTTAATAAACCAAATATTGAGTTCCGGCAGATGAATATCACAAGTTATCTATCGATCCTTAATGCAAACCATTGCACATCTCAGATATTTTTCAAATATTTGCTTGATCATTTTATAGTGGTTTGGCCAATATAATGTCTCCAGCATCTCGAGCCTACCTAGTCTTATTCGCCATTAAATGTGTAAAAGGTTAACTGCTAGGCGGTAATAATATTTTATGGCAAATCTGTTTAAAATGGAACAATAAATAAATTTAGGCATTTAAAACTTATCAATCAATAAACTTACAAGCTGGACATTTCGATAAGGATTTTCAGGTTATATTGTGTATGATTGGATTTAACTAACCCATTTGAGTTCTGTTTATTGTATCAACGATAAAGTAATTATTTGGGATTTTCTGTGGGAAAACCTGTACAAACTCTGATATTGTTCCTAATTTAACTTTTTCTAGAGGCATTATCTGTCAAACAACACCTGGGCCCAGAATGCCAGATTTCATATTGTTTTTTATCAAACAAGCAAACTTCAAATTTGAAGCACCACCACTCAATTCTGACAATGTCCACGTTCTCCAAAAATGTCCTCAAATTTCCAACAATTGCAAACATTTTAAGAAGATAACCCTACTAAAATCCTCCTCAAATGCACCACGGACGCAACTAACTGTGGCTCAATTATCTCCACTGGATTCTTTAGATCTCAAGGATTCCCTAACTCTCCAACTGTATTTTTCAGGTCCGTAGTAGGCAGCAGTAGGCGATATAAGGTATCTTCAACAAACGGACAGTATAAACTTTAAGCGTTAACTGGGTAGTGGTTATAGAGGCGTGGTTAAGGCGAGCACTTACAATCAAAAGTTTACCGAATCGATCTTGAGAAAGGTAGTAGTATTTTGATGATTCGAAACTGGACCCAGCTGTCCCTGATCATTAGGTTTTCCAATAGTCAATGAAGTCACCAACGGGCTTCACCCCGTTTGACTTCATAAGCATTAATAAAACTATTCATTGGTTAGGGCTGAAATAAACTAAACAGAATACAGTAATACAAACAAATAATCACACCTGATTTTAGTAAGGTGATAGATTTAAATAATAGCAAACAAATGAGTTCAGCTGAGGTATTTTTAAAATTAGGTATATGGGATGTTCCCTTAAGAAAGAAATTACGACCTAAAAGGGCAATTTATTAAATAATAGTTAATTTAGAGCAAGGTTTCTCGTCATGGCGAACATTTTAAGTATATGGTTTATGGGGGTTGTAGTTTTCTCAAAAGTTCATGGGTACTTTAGGATTTATATGGATGATCCTGGCTAATGAAACAGCTGATCTTGGTCATCAAAGCTACACAGATAATCTCACAACATTCTACGTTCATCCTTCACTCATTTGGGTTAAAATACGCACATAGGTCCTTATCGTCCCATCTCAATTGATAATGAAATGATAACTGTCCTCAAATCCTCGAACTCCCTGCGGACTGCGGCTCAATTCTCTCAATTAACGGACTGGATGAGTCGCGAGGATTAAACGCAGCTGGTCGTTCTCGCAAACAAATTACGGCCCTCTTTTATTACATATTCATTATTGACAGGGGAAGCTCCGTAATCCCGCCCCGATACTTACCCCCCCCCCACCACGGGGGTCGTGTGAAGTGCTGTTTGTCAATTTGTCAGCCTACTTGTCCCATTTTGCCCTTTAAGCGCCGCGATTGAATATGTAACAGATGACGCTACGATTTGTGGTGGCGGGGGAGGGGATTTGTTACACTGTGTAGTGCTTAGATTAAGATATACGTCTTTGGTCAGGTGTTATCAGCTTCATAGCTGAAGGTTGCTAAATTTTGCTGGTTTGAATCTAGGTGGAATCTGAACCATAGACAAAAAGAATTAAATATAGACTGTCAGCTGTGCTGCGGTTACCATGGTTATCATAGGTTCTGGTGCACACCGATAGGAGCACCGTGTAGTTACGTAGCGTTTACGCCTTAACTACATGGCGCTCTCAGCGGTGTGCGCCAGAACCTATGGTAACCACAGCAAAGCTGACGGTCCATATTTAATTTTTTTTGTCTGAACACAGACACAGTTTGCTCTCAACTAATCATATGACAATAGGTTGATATTAGGTAAAGACTTATTTTAGTATCACACATTTACAAATGACGTTCAACAATGGCGTTTATACAAAACAAAACTTCTTTATGGTTAATTAATGTAAAGAGTTTTTATCCAATCTAGTGTCAATCCCAATGAGAAATAGAATCCTAAAAAATTAAACTATTCATTCAAAAATTTTGCTATGCCACCTATGAATGCGAAATGGAGTAACCTACTGTGTATTAAATTATAATGTTTACCTAGGACATTTTTTTAAGTAGCCGTTTCAGTTCAGTTCTTAGAATTGAAAAGTTTCCCATAACAACGTTTATTTTCATAACAGCATAGTTTTACTCATAACAACACGGGTAACGGACCAATGAGGTTCAAGGATTTGAGAGAGAAGTAAAATTGTAATGATTCGAAATTCAACTAATCAGCTGCTAGTTGTCCACCCCATGTGGATGGACAAATTCAAAGCGTAGGGGAGACCGCCAAAATCTTAATAAACTTTTATATTGTTTACCTTATACTGTTAAACTATTGACTGAAATGCTCATAGTAAAAAAATTTTTTTTTTTTAATCAAAGCGGACTTATAACATGTTTTAAACTATAGAAAAATACCGCCATCCCCATAGGGTCCGATTACCAAAGAAGGTGTCTAACCAGATCTGGCCTCAAAGAAAACCTCAAAACTAAAAACAAGAACCTCCAAAATGGTAATCATAGTAGGAAATCAAGCATTGGTAATCATATACCAGTAGTTCATTAACAGTATTTTATACAATTAATATTAAACTTTAACAATATCAGACGTACAAAGCCGCAATATTTGGACAACTCCATATTAACCCCTAGCCATAAATGACCCCGGCAGATCCACAACAATAAATCAACAGCTTAACATAGATGCCACCCCACACATTCACCCTCTGTCTGCGGATTTATATAATTGATTTACTAATTTCCCATTTACGTTTGATTACCGAAAGCTCAGAGTGGAAAGTCACAATCAGCGTTGAAAGGTTCATCAAGTGATTCGGGTTGTTTCATGAAATTTGTTATTTTAGTAGCATTAAGTCTTTGGCATAACGCGACTACTCTGAACTGTACAACTGTAGAGTTGAGAACTTTTATGCTTATTTTTACCCAAGGAATCACCACGTAAATTATGTGTCCACATTTTTTTGAACACCCCGTATTTATTTTAACTTCGAATTTAGTGATGACGTCAAACTCAATTTTACTTGTGTCCACTAAAGCCAACAAATGAGAAAAATAACGCTTTTTATTTTGATTTGACTTTTTTTAGAAGTTATTAATATATTCTCTTCATTAATGAAAATGGTCCACACCCATACAGCACAAGGACAAAATGTGTATCCTCAACTTGCTAAACACATGTTTTGTAACCATGCAACCCAAAAACTATTGGTAAAAGTTCGATGTACATTAAATTTGACAAGCTTTTAAGGTCAAAGACAATTACATAAACAATTAATTGAAGATTTGGTTTACACAAGTCATTGTATCTTGGTCAGGAGGCAAGGCTAGAATTCGTGTCAAAAATTATCCGGACAAAAATAAATCCCACAACGAAACTAAACTGAATGATACATACAATCCTATTACAGCTAAACTCTGTATGATATAACCTGACTCTTCGCCCACCATCTACCTGAAGCTGGATCGGAAAACCATTGGCCAGTCCCCAGCTAGACGGAGGTTGAGGAGGTAGGTTCCTTCATACAGACTATAGTTTTGGTGAATACTGAAAGGTTAAGGAAAGTGAGTGTAAACTTATTGATGTTTTTCATAGTTCCGATTGTTTATTTATTGAGGTTAAGGAGAGTGAGTGTAAACTTATTGATGTTTTTCGTATTTCCGATTGTTGATTTATTGAGGTTAAGGAGAGTGAGTGTAAACTTATTGATGTTTTTCGTATTTCCGATTGTTGATTTATTGAAGTTAAGGAGAGTGAGTGTAAACTTATTGATGTTTTTCGTATTTCCGATTGTTGATTTATTGAGGTTAAGGAGAGTGAGTGTAAACTTATTGATGTTTTTCTTAGTTCCGATTGTTGATTTATTGAGGTTAAGGAGAGTGAGTGTAAACTTATTGATGTTTTTCGTAGTTCCGATTGTTGATTTATTGAGGTTAAGGAGAGTGAGTGTTAATTTATTGATGTTTTTTGTAGTTCCGATTGTTGATTTATTGACGTTAAGGAGAGTGAGTGTAAACTTATTGATGTTTTTCATAGTTACGATTGTTGTTCATTGACGTTGAGACACAAAGTAAAGTTATGTTTTGTAACAGTTTATGTTTTGTAACAGTTTATGTTTTGTAACAGTTTATGTTTTGTAACAGTTTATGTTTAGTAACAGTTTATGTTTTGTAACAGTTTATGTTTTGTAACAGATTTATATTTGTAACAGTTTATGTTTGTAACGGTTTATTTTTTGTAACAGTTTATGTTTTGTAACAGTTTATGTTTTGTAACAGTTTATGTTTTGTAACAGTTTCTGTTTTGTAACAGTTTATGTTTGTAACAGTTTATGTTTTGTAACAGTAACCTACCTCACCAAAATAAATCCAACCTAACCTATCGGAAATTTTTATATAATTCTTATCTTAAACCTGACTGCAAACTAAAAACCCTCCGACCAAGAGCTCTCGCCTTTACGTATAACTCGTGACTACAATATGGTCTGACCAAAAAAGGCACTGAGT